CCCCCCCTCCATCCCAAAGTTAATGAGAGTTTCTTAACCCTATCCGTACGTCATGTTTTACTATAGTCTATCGTGTCCATACGATTTGGGAAACTCTGTGCCACCACTTTCCAAGGAGGAAATTTACTCGTTAATTCGATCCGTACGCTTTTCATAGCTTTCTGTCAAAATGATTTTTTGACCGAAATACTGAAAGTTTCAAAGAGATATTCACCCCTGAAGTATTCTAAAATGTGAAGAATACAACTCCAGGGATAGGGTTGAATACGAAATAAGCAGTTGAAACCTTTATGTTCGCATGCAATGAACACAGAGTACAGAGTGATCAGCTTGGCCGCTTGCTCGTTTATCCTATCTCTGTTGCCACCGCTTATAACTATAGTAACCCAACAGCCAATCAAATGTCTTTAGGCTCACAGGATGACCCCATTCCCACGGACCATAATGAAACTCTTCTTGTAAAAAAAAGGTAGAAGACAGGAAAAAAGAACACTGTACTGGCGGCTCACACTCTCCTAGCCTTGACAATGAGGTGAAAGTTTACTACTCACTTTCTCCCAGTGACACAGATACCACCTAAAATTACACGCGCTCATTGGACCTTTGTTCGGTGCGTTCTACATTTTGCGACTATACGGCCAACTGATCTAGCTCATTCACAGACGGAATATACTTAAAGTGCTATGTGTGCATGTTTGTGTTTGTGCGGATGAGATTTAACAGTTATAAATCACATGGAACCACTTTTAAGGCAACCTTTTCATCCAGAAGAATCTAACTAGAACAAAGAGACGGAAGACAAAGGTACCTCTTCTTGTTTGAATGGTTCTCAAAATACCGTGGCTCACCGTGATCATAGAATAATCAGTACTGTTTGGGGCTTATTGCTTGCTATTTGGTGCTAAAGAAATGGAAGCAACATTAGCCCCTCCCTAATTTTGGTCCACCCACCGTCACTGATTGTATTGTCCTGATTTTATTTGAACATCATGCAAGGTATGCTGTTGGAAAATCTTTTCTTTTAGACCACTGTTACTTTGAATGACTGACTTTTGTTCCTTTGGAAGGGTTGTAACTTTTCTCTTTTTAATTCTGATTGGACTTCCAATAAGTTCCAATCTAGCAATGATTTTGTCTTTCTCGTCAAATAAAGCGGGTTTAGACGACCTATTGATACTGTTATAATCCTTTTTTGGTCTGAAACTTTGATTTTCAATTTTTTTCACTGCTGTGAGCTCAGATGGCTGTTTCCCTATTTGCCTTTGTTGTGTAGTATTTCAAATTTTGCAACTCTGTTGCTCACTTTTGAAGTCACTAATACTTAATTTTCTTAATTTGTATTGAAAATTTAAGCCAGATCGTAAGTAAAAACCGAAGGCAAAGGTAATTGCCTGTCCACTTCACTTCCGGTTCACCCGTTGATTGCGCACGCGCATCGGAGTTTTTTTTTTTTGAGTCCGAATAGCCGCGGCCAATTATTCTGTAAGTGGCGCCCCCAAAAAAACTTGAAAATGTAATCACCCAATCATTGTGTTATAGGCTTGCACTGCCCTATCATGCAGAGTACCTATGTAAAGCTAAATAAATTCTGCTTCGTCTGACACATCGATATTTCATTTATGTTAACAGATGCCCGAGATGTGGTCACTCAAAATTGACCTTAAAAAATCAGGCATTGCAAAATTGAGCAAAATCAGAGAAACGCGAAAAGGTGTGTTCGCGCTTATTTGAAAAGAATCAACATTGGTGGAAGGGACATGTATTGAATATCAAATGAAAAGAGAATATTATTATTGTCTCTGCAATGAACAGCATCTTCTGATGATATTTTTGAACATGTTGGAGAACAGAGCAGTTACAAATAGCACTCCAAACCTGGACTTAACATAATGTGGTCATTAGTGTCAATTTTGTTTCTGTATTGGAGCTAATGTTTTTGTGTTGAGCGCGAAACTTTTTTGCACATGGACTGTATTAGTTAGATTTTGGACATACTCATCTGTCAGTGAGAAACAGAGGCCACGAAAATGCTATTGCTCTGGGTGGTCTGGGGTGGAATGAACAGAACCTCCCTCATGCGGATCATTGGATGGCTTGGTTTAGTGGACATCGCGCGAGTGCTGGAATGTTATGTCTTACCCTTACTTTTGTCATGGTGTCATTCAAGTAGACATTTCCTTGAATAGCAGACAACTTTCTCACAAGGCCAGTGTCACTAGATAATTCTTGGAAAACCAAATCAAATCAATGTTGGAGTGGTCAACAGTAAAGAGCCCCAATGTGAATTCTACAGATATGTGAAAAGTGAAATACCACGAAACAGCAGCTGAAGAAGCGCAACTTTGCTCCTAACTCTTTGTTTGCCACTCTCTTTTACGCTCGGGATGAAATGACAGGTACTTATGTCCAAAATTTAATAGACTCGATGCACAAAGGGTTTGTGCTTTACCCAAAACTAATGGCTCCGAAGCAAAATAATAATGAGCACGATTAATGTTAAGTCCAAGTTTTCTGTGGTATTTGTGATTGCTGTTTTCAGTTGTGTTTGAAACTATCGGGACAAAACATCAAAATAGAGTATTGTTTATTGCAATACAAAATTCTCCCTTCTTTGGATATGTAATGTATGTCCTTTCTATCAATATTGATTCTCCTCTATACATGCGGGAAGACAATTTTATGTTTCTATGATTTCGCACAATTTTGCCAAGCTTGATTTTTTAAAGGTCAAATTTGAGTGACCTTATCTCGGTCGTCTCTTAACATAGATGAATTGTTAATGAGTCAGATGATGCAAAATTTTTATAGCTTTAAATTGGTATGCTTCATGAGTAGGTAATGCGAGGCTTAAACACGATGATTTGATGATTGCATAATTCTCAAGTTTCTTTTTGACGCCAATGTATATTACGCAAAGGTTTTTAGTTTTAGGTTTTCTGTCCAAGTGTAGAGTTAGTCCTTTTTAAAAATTCAATCGTTTGATTTTATTTTGTACTTGAATGCCAGACTATTTAATTACGAAATTTCACCCAATTACCAGAGTCTAGACCTTTTGAAATAATTTATTCTTTTTATACTTCATCTATGGACACAGTTTAGATTTCTCAGTTACTCCTCATTTTGTATTGAAAGTAGTCATTTTGAGAATAAGTACAGCAGTCGGTGCGGTCACTCACTTATAACAGGAAAAGAAAGCTTTTTAGTGACATAGGCTCCCATGAATTTCTTCTAATCTACAGTCGAACCTGTGTAAGACGGCCACCCATTGTCAAAGAGAAAAGGGCCGTATAAGACAGGTGGCCGTCTTAGGCAGGACTGATCAAGATGAAGAAAACAAACCCTTCCTTTCTGAGTTTCCAACCGAAGATAGCCGCATTGTTGTTGTTGTTGTTATTGTTGTTTTCGCTGTGTTTTTTTTCCTTCTTTTTTTTTCTTTTGTTGCTGCTTTTGCGCAAGGGCGACAATAAAATGAAATGTGTCAGACAAGGAGGACCGAGTGCTATGGTAAAACAAACACATGGGTCGCCACCACTCGGAGAACGAGCAACGCTTCCGTCTCAAGTTCATGTTGACGTCCATTGTGACTTTGTTACAGCTGGGTTAACAGTGACCACTCATCTCACTTACGATTTGTGTATGAGTTCTGGGCGGGGCTTATAGGTCATGAGGGATCACACGCTTACCTAAATGGCAGCTGAAAATTTGTTACCTATTGGTCAACAGTGGGAGGGGCCTACGCAACATGATCGGTTGGAGGGACTACCTAACAACAACAGTGACAGGTGATTGAATTATGACGGCTCGCCCACAATGCCAGGGGCCAATGCACAGTTTATGACAAAACGTAATGGAGTAACTAAGGTGGCCGTCTAAGACAGTGTGATAGGGGTTGTGTGCTAAAATATGGTCGCGTTGGACAGGTGCCCGTTTTGCACAGTTAAATTATACAGAAAAAACGCAAGGGGGGAAATGGAAAGTGGCCGTTTGTACAGGTGGCCGTCTTATAGAGGTGGCCGTCAGGGCAGGTATTTCTAAACTTTGTTCCTCCTTTAATTTTTCTGTCATGAAATTCATTGCTCTGTCTTCATTCTGCCAGAATTACTCAGAAATATTAAAGATAGACAACACATGACATGAATCTTTGTTAAAAATTGTGTCACTGGTTATAGGGATGGGAAAACAAGTCTGGACATGATACTTAAATCAACTCAAAATATATTTATTGCTGAACATGTTCAAATTCTTATAAAGATTTTTTACAAGTTTGCAACAGTAATTTTCGCACAGATATGAAGGTCTTGTTCTTATTGCTTTTATTTTCAGTGCTCTGGGTCATAAAAGTGACTTGACTCAAGCTCGCTATCCAGCAAAATGTCATGTCGACGCTCGCGTATCATTATCAAGCCAAATATCCGGCCTTCAGTTGCAAGGTCAGGTCCTGCTGCAGCAAAAGCAAAACCGGCAGCTGCATCCTCAGCAGGAGCACCCACATCAGCAACAGCAGCAAATTCTGGTGGCAGTGAGTCAGGTCATGTCAAAGCGACGACTACTCCGGCAGCTGATAAGGATACTGATGAGACAGCTAATACAGTTGTGTCTGGCTCAGAGGCTGTTACGGTTGAAGTAAAAGCAGTGCCAACCTCTAAAAATGATGTGGGATCAATTCCAGACACAAGTGCTGAGAAAGATGGGATGGGGAATCACGGAGAGAGTATTGTGAGTGACAGTGGTGTTGGATCTTCTCTGTCGCAGAGGTGAGTCCTGATGGCGGTTTTTGTGAACCATCCTGTATACTGTATTCTTTTCTTTTGAAAATAATTAATGTTCCACTTGACAGTATGCCCTAATATTTCTGTTCTACTTGACGGCCTTCCTCTGGACAAGTCTTACAACGGTTCCACAGTCCACAATACTGAAGTGTTTACAGAATTGTATCTGTCATTGGCTTAAATTAAACATGTTTTGGTGAATGTAATTTGTCGGAGGGGGGGTGGGGTGGGGGGGGGTGTTGAAGTGGCTGACACCCCCCTGATTTTTTTAAACAACCGTGCGTCAGGGTGGGAAGTGATACAGTAGTTTCCACCTAAGATCCCATTGCCTATGATCCTGTTTCACTTTAGATCCCGCTGTTTTAAGAAAAAGAATTTCATTTCACAAAAGCAATCCCTTAGATCTCGCTCTGAAGGGACTAACTGCGGCTCAAACCCTGCTCTTCACATCATTATTTGCTTAACAAAAAACGCGGGCATTCTCCAGACTTTTAAAGTTTGATTCTGGGTGCCTTTGAATTATTTTTCTCTTTTTTCATAAAATAATCAGACATAACTGCATCTTTGAAATGACTCACCTTATTGTATTTAATGGGATGCAAAATTTAACATCAGCAAAAGCAGTTTGAAATTCAGAAATTCGTTGATTTGAATTGTATTATATTTATCTTTTGTCACCCCTAGTGAGCAGACAGAAGAATCGTCTCTTGGTGTTGAGCCTCGTGGCGGTTTTGCCGTGTCTGAGAGCGGAGATGGTGTCAGCGACGTTGGTCCCAGTCTGCAGCTGTCAGAGAAGCCCCTGGAAGAGCCTGGTAGAGAAGACATTGGGGCCCAGCCTGCACAAACAGCCGGGCTGTCGACTCCAGTAGCTGAGCTGCCGTCTGTGTCATCACCTGTCACCCCTCAGGACGCACCTTTTGTGCCTCCGCTCATGACATCTTCACTGTCGAAAGATGGCAAGGTGGTCGTCTCAGTGGAGGGGGATATGAGTGTGGCTATGGAGGAGGAAGTGGCCCCATCAGAGGCTGACACTTCCTGTATGTCTGAGGCTGTGTCTCTGGAGCCCACAGAGGAGCGAAGAGGGGAATTAGAGGAGGATGTTGAAGTGAAAAAGCCAAGAAGGAGGAGGGTGAGTGTGAGAAGTGATATTATGAGTTTGATCCCATTAAGATCAACATCTATTAAATTACTTTTAATTTCTTTGACATCATTGCATGAAACCTTTTCTTTAAAAGTTAAACGTTCATATATAATGGATAGTGATGGCTTTGATATTGAAGAGTCTCATTTTCATGATTCAGAATTAACTAAGCGGCATTTTTGTTTTTGTTGGTGACCTGGCTATCCGATACAATCCTTCTGTTTCAGATGAGGAAGCCATGCACTGAGTTACTACAGAGTCGAGAAAAATCCCCAGACAGGCAGAAAATGAAAATGAGTGACCTTCTGTCCTGGAACCCCCAGCAGAATTTCTTCCCGTGAGTACCCGGTGGATTGTGTCTCTTTTATTTTTTCACATCCTCGCTCATGACTGCCTTGGAATGTAAGAGGAAAGCACAGTAGTTGTGGCTGTGAAAAGATGCGACTGTGTTCGGTTGTGTTCGTGCCTTTCAAAAATGTTTTGACAAGGTCTGAGAATTTTAAGTGTTAATATTAAATCTAGTTTATGCCCTCTAAGGCCATATGTGAATTGTGGAAAAATGAAATGCCAGAACTTAATAATTATGAGAGTCATTTTTTTAGAACTTCTACTTTTTTATCAATTACTTGCATTGTTTGTTGATCCTATTAAAAAAAAAATTCTTTCGTCTAAGCAGAGGAGTGATTTTTTTTTTTTCAGGAAAAAGAAAAAGAAGCCTTCCGTGAAAAACGAAACCTCTTCAACAGCCGCACATGTAACTATTTCCGTAGACGATGATGCTGAGTCGTCCAATCAAAGTGCTTCGTTACCAGCTCCTCAAGTAATGATTGGACCAGATGGAAATATTATTCTGAATACTGAAAGGTACACTGTTTATATGGTTATTGTAAATTTGCAATGTTTAATTTCTTGTCTTGGAAAGAAACGAGAGTCTCAGGCCTGTGAATGACCTCAAAATTGAGTGTCTGGTTTTAATACTTCTTTTAGCTTTACTTATATCTCAGGTTGCATCTGATGACATGCACCTTTTATTGCTCTGACTGGAAGGGCCAGTGCATTAACTCTTAATATAAGGTGCACTAGTTCGGCTGGTGCATGGCATTTCTAAGTTGTTTATAGAATAACATACCCGCATACAAAAACCCGGAAAATCTTCTTATCTATTAACAGACTGTAAGTTTATTGTATGGTTCAATCATATCTTGTCAGGTGTTAATAATAGTTTATCATATGCAGAAAGGTGATATATAAGCAGAGTCATTTGGAAGTCTGTGATTCTGAAAAGTTGGATGATAAAATTGACAGTGTTAAAATGAAAATAGACTTCTATATACAGTAGTCTCCACCTAAGATCCCACCGCTTATGGTCCTGGTTCGCCTTAGATCCCGCTGTTTTGAAAGAACATAATTTTTACTATGTAAAGGCCACCGCTAATCTTAACGGGAGGAGCTACCCTTGAGGACCATTTTTTATGTCTGTTGCCCAAGATCAAATCTAAGTACACATATAAGTTAGGCATAGTATAGACCTGCATGTTTGCCGACAATCGTCTGAAATCCGACAATCGCGACCCGACCCGCGAACCGGCCGATGCTATCGCTAGGCCCGCCTGTATCAGTCAATGTGCGTAGTGCGAGGCTTGGCCGACTGCCAGCGACCCCTTTTTCTCCCGTCGGCTTTGTCAGCACTTTCATTTTCGTGCCGACCGCTGACGCGCGCACCGCCGATTGCCGACGTCGGCGTTTCCGACATAATTGTCGGAACCTGAGTAGAAATGCGAATACGAAAAAGGACGACAACCTAAATTATCTACTTTCAGTTTCGTGCTCGAGCGGCCATTTTGAATTTCGTTTGTTGACTAATTTAATTGTTCAGATCGTGTGGATTTATTCAAGTCCGACTCTCTTGTTCTAATAGGATCTAGATCTAGATTTATATAGATCATTATAGACCTCAATGGAGGATTCATGTTCCAATTCTATTGTGTCAAACCCTATCATAGGTTGTGCTGTAATATTAATGTTGGTAAAAATAAGCATTTCATCAGGTGCGTGAATTATTTATTTATTTAGATCTAGAATCTAGACTCAGCTGAGTCCCTCTGTTCGGAATCGGATGCGGATTTCTAGTTCAAGGCCTATTCCTATCCACTTGTTCTACAAGATCTAGATCTAGATCTAGATCTAGATTTATTTAGATTACTAGATCTATAAGGAGGATTCATATTCCAATTCTATTGTGTTATTGTATCAAACCCTACAGCAATGTAGATGTAAGCCATATAGATCTAGATCTAGATCTATATATGCTCCTTGTTTGTTTTGGAGTGTGGTTTTTTAATGTAAATTTTTTTTTCATTTAGGACTTGTTTTGGCCTTTTTACATGAGGCCTGTTGCAGGTTCTTTTTGGGGGTAGGGTTAGGGTTAGGTCTCTTCTTTATTGTGTTTGTTGGGGTGGTCGCTCGTTAGTCGGATGTCCTTCCTTATGATACCCACAAAGGCTTTTTTTGGGGGGGGGTTGCGCAAAATTTTCAGACAATCTGGTTGAGGCTCACATGCAGGTCTAATAGTAAAATCTCTTGATACGCCATTTTATTTTGGCATAGCAACAGCGGTTGCTATGGAAACAGCCGCCATCTTGAAAATAAACAATGAATTTCAAATCCCTAAGGCTTTCTTATTTACCCACCAAATTTGACCAAATGTGGTGAGAGTATGTAACAGCAAGCTTATTTCAATAAGTGCAAAAGAAAAAAATATATGAGAATTTTCCAGAAGTACAAAAAACTTTTAAAAAATGTAGGTTGCGTAATTGCTTGCCAATGGAAAAGTGTTATTGTTTTCGCAAATATCTCTCTGTTACATTAATGGCAGCCTTGCCATCTATGTTTCCTGAAAGTTTCATCTCAAAATGATGAAAACTAAGGAAGGAGTAGGGAAAAAAAGGCAAAAAAAATACACTTTGCGAAAACTGACTATTATTGTGAAAATTCACTATATTAACCCATTGTCATGTTTTCAAAGGCAATTTACGTGGAGAATAAACACTTTTTCAAATGTATCCATGCTATTTTTGGACAAAAAACTGGTTGATCTTCAAATATCAGCCAACAGAAAATTTGCATAGCCTGACCCAAAATCTGCAAAATCAAGGGTCGCTCCTCCCCTTAAGATCCCGCACTGAAGGAGCTACATTCGGCTAAGATCCCGCTTTTCAGGTCCATAATTTTTTTTTTTTTTTCTTTATTAAAAAAAAAAAGAATAAGAAACCTGGGTGCGCTCAGCTGATCAACAAAGTAGCGATAATGTGTGATCATTGTACGGTCCGTTGCGTCACGGATCATTCATTCACTCTCATAAATGCGATCGCATCTGTGTTGTAAATGTCGATAAACTGTTTCTATGTTTACCCCAGACGGGATCGCACCAAGGTGTGAACTCGTCAATACCTTGCTTTCCCTGATCACCTGAGCATCACACACCAGATGGGGAGGCCCTACAAGCAACAGTGCTTCTTCCACTCTTCCGTATTTTTACGGAAATCCGTACTTTCTGCCAGTTCCGTACTTGTTCATCCATCATTATCAACTCCCTCCGTAAAAAACTGCGACAGCGTAGGACTACCGAAATTCATTAGCAAAAGATCCATACCGTGCCGTCTGCGGGTTGGTAGACAGTACATTTTTACCTGCAGATTGATCAAAATCTGGCGAACTTTTTGGGCCAATTTCCTCCTTTCTATCATTCACTCATTCTGTCTGTCTATCTCCGGACTGTTTCCGTGGCTTAAAAATATGCGCGTTGATCAAGTAAATTGTAAATTGACTTGTGATCTTACACTGAAAATTACTGTCAGAAAGAAACTTGCTTGCAAATTTATTGTTCAGATCTAGAGAAATTATCAATGCGAAGATTCTACGGCAGGGGAATGCGATAAGGGCCGCGATGAAAGAAAGTTATGCTAAAACTACTAAAATCAAGAATAATTCGAAATGGTGTTCTGAGGTTGTGACGTTCAACATTCTGTAGTGAAAATTGTGGAAAATTAGGGTATACACTGGGTATTGCGAAGGTACCAATCTATTCATTATTCCCAGGTTTGCCTTTAATCAATTGACAAATTAATTGAATTATAGTAGCAATGGAAGGGGAACCTGCTTTTAAACATAGCCAGCAAAGGAAAGATATGTAGGTGAAGAAATCAAACAAGACAAAATGTTGGCGAACAAATAAATGTTATGGATTGTAGGCAGTCTCTTCAAACAGGCTCCCAAATGCCATTTTCTACCCTCTAAAAGCACTTAATTTCAATTTCTCAACCCCCACCGGGACGCTGTTCCTGGACCCTGCTGGGACCTTCAGACCCCCCAGCAAAATTTTCCTTACTTTTCAGCTTCAGCTGATGGAGGCACTGAAGTAAGCACCAGACTGCATTCTATCAAACTGTTAACTCGTTGATGCTTACGTTTTCCCAACCATCGCTCTCGTCTTTCAGTTTTGCGTTTTAACTTCCTAGACAGACTGGCGCCCATACTCGTGGACTGTCCGATTGCCTCTGCGTAATAGGGTCATCTGTTGGCAGTGAACCTGCATTTCATCTCTTTAAAATTTGGTGGGTGTGGTCACTACCCAACGATTTATGGAGCATCTTGACATTGGCGGGGAACTCCTTTAGAGATGGAAAACAAATCATTTTGGTGGGGGAGCGTTGCATGGGGCCAACTGGTTCCCACCTGACACAGTATTTTTAAAAAAGCCACCCCAACCAAAAAAAAGGAAATACTGAATTCTGAAATGAAATGAACTTTTAGTGCACAGGAGTCACGTCAGTTCATTTTAAAGTAAGGGAAGTTCATTGTACAGATTATGGGCCTGACCATGAGTTACTGTGGATTCTTACCGTGGCCATTCGGCTAAGATCCCGGTTCGCCTAAGATCCTGCATTTTCCTTGCTCCTGAGCTCCAGGATCTTAGGTGGAGACTATTGTACGCAAAAAGTTATTGGACTAGGAGATTTGAAAAGCCTTATTTCCCAACTTTGGTAATAAGTGCAACTCTCTCGCATGTGGGGTATCACTCATCACTCTCCAGCTCTGGGATGACGTCTTTACCCTATGCTCCTCTTTTCTGAAAAGCAGCAACACAGACTTTATGTACAGTACTATTGGCCGCTAAGATTTGGCCAAAATTATGTTCTGGGCTGACTGTTATTTAGTTTTTTAAAATTCTTTTTTAAAATTTAAGGGCTTTCACCCCCATCAACACAACTTAGATCTTTTGGAAGACCTGCTTTGACCATGCAACCCTGGCTGAGAGGGATACGTTTCACTAGGAAAAGAGAGATACTAAATGAAACTTCTCTATGTTACACTTAAAGAATTAATGCATACATTTTTTTTCAGTCTTCTGATCCACACTGAGAAAGTCGAGACTGGCAGCCCAAAGGAAGTAATTGAGGAAGACGATGATGACCGTTACCTCAATACCAACTCATATAGAACAACGAAAAACGCAAAGCTATGGACCGAAAAGGGTATGTTCTTAGGAATGGTATGGTGCTTTGTTTTATATTATGGAGTTTTGCTTATAGGTTTTTTTGGGATAGAAAATATCTGAAGTTTTTTACATGTCAAATTTTAGATTAAAAATTTTTATTTTTTATGCATTTTCCTAAGTCGTCTGTGGATATTATTTTAGAGACAGAAGAACAATTATTTTATTGATCTGATCAATGAGATTTGTTTTTGATGAATTTTCAAAATCATCGAGTATCATTTGTCTCTATTGGGATGCTGTGTCCATTCAGCCTTGGTTGATCCCAGCAAGCAGGGCTGAAATAGTCAGCCTTTTAAATCATCTAAATTGTGTGGATTGATGGAGACGTGAGACATGGACCTGCCTAAGATGCATTGGTCATCATCAAACATTGATCTATTAACTATTAGGCTTGCATACCCATGTCTCCCCCCACCCGAATTCTGTTCCTTTTATTTAATGAAAGTTGTTTTGTTTTTTAGGAGGGGGATTAGGGGGATGCAGTTTTATATACACTGTTGCCCATTCTTATTTGGTTGCTTTTAAGCACAAGGGGGCTATCCCGAAAAATGCTGTTTTGAGAAAATCGAAGGTAAAGTTTTTATACCTTGTTCAATTTTTTTAAAACACAAGGAAAGCTTTCTCTATCTCCAAACAAATATACACACCAATGAAACCAAATTTCTCCTATAGGTAGGGCAATGTCCACTTTTGGTGTAGGTCAAGATTTCTGGAAACCCCTGAAATCTGGGTTATCCCACTTGTCCTTGAAAGCGACCATTTGTACATAGCCAATTTTGTCATCCAGTTAAATATCAACTTGTGTTTATTGCAGAAACAGAGAAGTTCTTCCTTGGACTTAGTATGTGTGGTACAGACTTTTCTCTGCTTACCCGACTCATGCCTCACCGGTCACGAAGGGACTTAAAAGTTAGTGGTTTATGGTGTGCTTGTGTGTTGATGTGTGCTGGTGTGTATGTGTGTGCTGGTGTGTATGTGTGTGCTTTTGTGTTTGTATATGTGTGTATTTTTGTGTTTCTATATGTGTGTACTTTTGTGTTGATTTGAGCTGGTGTGTATGTGTGAGCTTTATGTATGTGTGTCTTAACTCACTGACTACTGGCCCCTCTCACCAGTCACTAGCACTGAGTACTGGCATTTTTGGGGGTATTTCAAAACACCACCACAACTCTCAGAAATACCCTATTGTAATTATTTTTTTGACACAGTAAATTTACTTTCAAATTTAATCTATTGCAAAAAATTTAAGTCGTCTAGGTCTAATACTTTAATTCTTATGATTGTTTAAAAATTAGCCTGAATTTGATTTGTCTAAAAATTTCCAGAGACGTGACAGGTAGAATGAAATTCACAACAAGAAAAATAAAAGTTCAAAGTGTTCTGTTTTGATTTGTATCCATGTGCGAGTGTTTGGTGAAAATATAAAAGCTGGTCTGTGTGTTTATTCAGACCCATACACTGAATTACATGAGACAAATGTAGGGAATGAAGTTTTGATTTTGTCGCATGAACAACAACACCAGTACTTGTGCTAGATCTAGCCCTAAAACTACGATTCAGGCTGTGTTTGGGTACATATCCAGGGTCCTAACTATCAGACACATCATATCCTGAGTCACTAGAACTGGCAAAACGAACAGGAGTATGGAAAACAGCGAAATTATGTGATTCTTGTTCATGCGACTGTTACTTCAGCGCGACTGTCGGATTACTATCAGCTGTATAGAAATAAACATAGCGCGAGTTCCGGTTAGGTCAACCCCAGATGAGGTGACTGTCCTTCACCTTCAATTACTTAAAAAGTTACCCCGAAACTTCTGCCAAACTCGGTACGAAACAAAATAAGTGGGAAAACTATCTTGGAGTCAGTTCCCGTACATGTGATGGGAGCACAAGATACGGAACAAAATCGCAAAGTCCATCCCGTCGGCGTCGGGAGTACGGGATCCGTACCTGCGAACCGACCGCCCGCCCCGTACCTGTGACGGGAACCGTAGTCAGTGATTTAATGTTTGTTTTATAATGCCGGTATTTGTCACCCACCTGTCAACACAATTTAGATCTTTAAGGAGTCAGGCTTCAGCCCTACCTATCAGGGCCAACCCAGGCTGAGAGGGTTATGATATCCCAACTGAAAGACTAAGATGCTCGATAATAACTCTCCCCACACAGGAATTGAACTTGCATCTTCTGTGTGCGATGGCAAAGTGTGTTTGTGCAGCAAGTCGTATGAGTTTTCACGAATAAGAAATTCTGAAGCCAAGAGAAAAGTCGTAACTTGTGCACATCCATGGGTGAAAATGGAGCTTTTAAGTGCTCAAAATGTGGCACTCTTTCTTTGCCAGAATTGGTGTCATTGGCTTCAGGAGAAGCCACAAGTCAACTTTACCTTTATCTCTTCTGTTTCACTGAAGAAATATTCTCTCTGCAGATGTATTGGTCTTTGTCAGACATTGACAAATAAAGGCTTGTGTCCCCATGTCCTCCCCCCCCCCCCCCTTCCGAATTCCATTTTTTAGTGCAAATGTTTGTTTTTTTTAAAGGAGAGAGTCACAGATTTATACTGTTGCCTTTTCCTTTCAATGGAACTTACACAGCTTTGTATATGATTTGTGTCTACCTTTATGTTAATAGATTGCAATTCTTAATTCACGCTACTCTTTGTTTTTTTCCCTCCAGAATAAATTTCGTCGAGAGGAAAGAAGAAACAGGCCTCTGATTGACAGCGCTTTAGGTATGGAGGGTGACAAAGTAATCTTGTGGATTAAGTTGAGCATGAGGGCAAACAAGGAGGGGAAGAGAGGGAGGGAGAGGGACAAATTCAGTGTTTTCTTCATAGTCTCCTCATGGACCTTGCTACTGTTACGCTTCAGCAATTTACTCAACCAGGTCCAATCTTCCTTCTCCTTTATGAGGAGTATTCAAACAAAATGAGACTGCAGGATTTTCTGAATATTGAATTGCACCTGATTTTAAATGTCTGCTTTAGAAATCTTTGTAGCGTGTTGGTGATGATTAACGAAATGAACAGGGAGGAGGTAACCCCTAAAGGTTGGTACTACAGTTGGTGAAGAAGCTAGAGAAATCTTTGAGACTTTTTAAGACAGATGCATTTGGCACCTTAGTTTCTAGAAACCTTTTTTGCCGGATACTGATTTTGAGTGAGTGCGGGAATTAAGTGGTTTCGGAAATATGTTTATTCTGAGTCTTTTCTTTTTGAATAGACTTACTGTGTTGTGAGAAGAGTAGTTAAACCCATACCATACTGTTCAGGACATGGTTTTCGATGTTGTAAGGAGTACTTTTTTGTTGGTGTATTGTTTGTATAACCCCTTATCATTTTCGCCACATCAGTGACTTTTCTTGTAAGGTTGATCAATGTTGGTTAATGTTTGATGTTTCAGCGAACCGCCAGAAGTATGATCCAGCTCCTTTTGAAAGACTTCTAGAAACAGTCAATTCGAAAGTAAAGCAAGAGGCAAAGAAAGCTGTGAAGAAAGAGAAGGAGCCCAGGAAGGCCCAGAAGAGAAAGAAGCCAAAGAGTAAGTCCCTCTTTTGTCATTTGCCGGTTGACTCATTTGTTAACTTTAAAAAAAGATAGCTTGTTGTGTAAGGAGGATATTTAAAAAATAGCAAGCGAGCTTTGCTGATGTAGATTGTTGATGTCACTCATTATTGTCGTATGCAAAATACGAGGTTTTGAAGAGAAGCAAACAGTTTTATTTCAGGCAGATGCTCTATTCATCTAAATTGGTTACTATTTAAAGGAGAGGAATGAGACTAGAACCATTGGATGCGCCTTATCAAACACTACAACACGCTTAATTTTCATTTATAAATTTTAACATACTGTAACGCTTTTCCTCTCTGCATGGGAAACCATGAGGCTGTTACTGACCTGATGTTTTCATATGAGCATAATGCACAGCAGTAGCTGAACACCAATGGAAATCAAGTAAGTCCGTGAAGTTTCTTTGCTGAGCTGGTGGAGGAGACTGACTCTTTGTTTTCAGGTCTTAACGTAGTGATCCGTAGTGCAATTGCAACCAACCACCACCCTCAAATCGCCACCATTCCCCTTTTTTTAAGGATGGTGAGAGGGTGCTTCTGGTAGGTTTTGCCCCTTTACTGTCTCTGTTTCTATCTTGCTTGTTGCGTGCACTAAATGACAGTTGTATTGATCTACTTCTTTTTCCTCAAAACTTTACCTTCATTACTTTGTTGAGTCTTGCTTATAGCTTTACTTGCTGGGTTTTTTTTTCAGAGAAAGAAGCTGATTCAGAGGAGGATGAGGATGTCTGGAACCCAGAGTAAGTATTCTTAATCGTAATTTTTATCTCAACCCCAATTGCACTGGGCTATTTCTTGCTCTTGCTTCCCTCTGATTCAGGTAATACTGGAGTCAGTTACTCCACAGACTTACCAATTCTAAGGGTGTTGGCAATTTTTTGCCGATTTAAAAAAAATTGCTGTACGACTTAGAAAAAAAAGTGTTGGCAGACTCATAAGTAATGCTAACTAAAAGATACAGAATCTGTCAAAAAGTGACGCAGTGTGTAATGCCCTGATGAAACCACCTTCAGTGTGTGAGTCTGAAGCCATACTTGTAAAGCATAGTAGTTTCTGCTGATCCAAAGTGAACTCCAGGTTAAAATGTAGGAGGAAGCTGGTTGAAATAATTAGTCGAACTTGCTCTCTTGGCCACCTATATGAGACAGTCACCTGTACAAATGACCACATCCCATTTTCTCCTTTGCATATTATTAAAACTTTATAATGACGCTGTAAAAGAGGTCTAACTTTCCTAGACAATGACTGTTCTCCTCTACAATGAGTGTCTGTCTTACACAATTTTGACTGTAGTTGATTGAGCATGTGGTGATGCTTTAGATTCTGACTTTGACTGTCATTACCTTGCACATTTCAGCGAAGACGATGATGTCATCAATGGGGAGGACTCGACGGAAGCGATGGCTAAGTATCCGTACATCAAACGCAAGAAAACGACGGTTGGGGGTGTCAAGTCAGAGCGAGCCAACCCAACCTCTGTGACTGGTGTTCCTGGCCCGAGCTCAGGTGCAGATAAACAAGTTAATTACGTGACGCAGGAGGCGCCGCCTAAGATGAGACCAGGCCGTACCAAGACGTACTCGAAGACCGCCCCTGTGAGCCAGCCTCCAGCATCAGCCCCTGCTGTGCCAGCTTCTGGTTCTGCCAACCTGAGGAGAGACAGGTAGGGAGAGACTGGTAACAATTACATTTCAGTGTGAATGCATGCAAGATTTGTCAATATTTTGGTTATGTTTGTGTTCTCTTTACCCATGTATTTAACATTTTAATTGGCTTAAATATATCTAAATGGCAATCAGTGTGATGAGTTGTCATCTGTACGGCTTTGACTGCCTTAAAAAAAAGTGCTGATGAAAAAACTGTGTTACAGATGGATATGAGGGTCATGTTTCGGAAATGAGTTTGTGGTTTGTCTAAGATAGGATGGTTTATTCTCTGAAGACCATGGGATGAGTCCTTTTAACCTCTTTGTTCTACCCTCAATGAAATTGTGCTGAGGTCCCTGATTTCATCAGATACCTTAATGTCCCCATGTGTTGACCGCTATTAATAGTAGAGTATCAGTTAAGCTCTTTCTTTGCCCTGAGTAAAAACGCAAATGTCTTTTGTGAGGCAGATATATTTTACCGTAGAAAGCTTGATTAAGTATTTGAAAAATCTCAAACAGGCATGATGTTTACTTGTATATTGGGGGTTGTTTTCTCCAGCAGCCTCCAGGACATCCCAGGGTCAGTTCAGATCCAGATTGAGATGGCCGATGGTCAGAGTGCTGCCCAGGGGGTGCTCATCCCCTCCAATATGGTACCCATCATTGCCCCACAGCTGGGCATTCAGAACGCTACGGCCGGTATGCAGGTATGTCACCGCTTATGCAGTCTGTTGGTTTGGTTTCAGAATGTAAGGATTATTGAATTGTCTTGGTCTGATTTTTTTTGATTTTGTTTGGTTTGGTAAGACTTTCGAGGCACTTTCAACACGATTAGGTCATATGCGTGCTGAAGATTAGAAGTGTTTCTAGACAGTAACATACAAATAGAAGGAGGAGGAGACAAGAACGATCGATGTTTTATAGGAAAGCAGGAGCAAACCACACCAGAGCACCCATTTACCACTCATGTTGACTCGTTATTTTTTTATATTTGGAGAATATTTCACCCGTAAGTGTTGTGTCCTTTGGATTTTGATTAGCTACTTGCTCTGATTTTTTAATAATATCAAAGATTGTGACCCAGGATACATTGTTCACTAGTATTTTTGTGTATCTAAAAAAGAGCTGTGGTCCATTTCATACGATGATATAATATGTGTTATTATTAGTGAAATTTAAAAGTGAAGTGCGTATGTCTAGCACAAGGGGAATTTTTGTTTTTTTCATTTCATTCTCTCTTGTTTGGCCTTTTTCTTTTCTTTTTTTAAAGCACTTTTTAAACTAATTTTCCTTTCTCTTTCTTATTAAAATATTAGGTCTTCATATGCACAAACACACTCACACACTCAAACACACATACACACACGCACACACACCGAGTTGGGACTTGACATACTCAACAAACTTTGTTTTTTCCCTCCTCCCCAGGTCCTACTTGTCCAGGAGGAGACCTCCAGTGGCAGCATGGTGCATGTCTACATCATCCCCGAGGGAGAGGCGCTGGCTGCTCGTGGTGCTGCAGGGGACAGCACCGTCACCACCACCTTGCCCGCCCCACCACCGCCACCAGCAGGTGCTCCTAGAGTTACCTCTCCGGCTGCTTCTTTCACTGCCTCGTCATCTCAGGCCAGCGCTGTTTCCGGGCAGCTTCCTCCATCCCCGCTGCCCACAGCAGGGGTGGGCGTCGCACGTCATATGGTAGCATCGTCGTCATCGGCATCGTTGTTGTCTTCTGGGCATAATTATGCCTCCAAGGGGGTTTCACTGACTCTGCCAAATGAAGCCTCGCACCCAAGCACAGCTCCGCACTCTACTGCAGGAGTGCATCCTGCCACTGTCCCACGCCCTGCTGCTGTCCAGAACTTTTCCACAACCTCTGTATCCCCTCTTCTCCGGCAGTCCACCGCAACCTCAGCCTCCACTCTAGTCTCCCCACCAGTACAACAGCCCTTACCGCCATGGCAACCCACCATGGCCCCAATGTCTGCTCAAGTCCGGCAGCCCACCATAGCCCCAATGTCTGCTCAAGTCCGGCAGCCCACCATAGCCCCAATGTCTGCTCAAGTCCGGCAGCCCACCATGGCCCCAATGTCTGCTCAAGTCCGGCAGCCCACCATAGCCCCAATATCAATTCAGGTCAGACAGCCCACTGTAGCCCCAATGTCCATTCAGGTCAGACAGCCCACTGTAGCCCCAATGTCCATTCAGGTCAGACAGCCCACTGTAGCCCCAATGTCCACTCAAGTCCGGCAGCCCACCGTAGCCCCAGTGCAGGCGATAGTCCCCACACCAGCCCCTCAGATCTCACCAATCCCACATCCCACCCCCATGCCAATGTCCTCCTTAGTCCCGGAGCCCACTTTTACCCCACAACTTCAACAGACTCCTCAGCAAACAGTGACCCCATCACAACCTGGGATAGTTACGCAGTTACAGCCAGCTTTAACCGTACAACCAGTACTGGACGCCCAGCCCACAGTTGAAATAGTTGGTCAGAGCTCAAGGAGAGAGGTGGATGTCAATAAGAATCAGGTGCGCTGACTGTTTTTGTTTGACTTGGTGTTTGTCTTTGTATAGCTGACCTGCTGTTTTGCCGTTTGACAGTTCCACTTATGGTAAATTTCTGGAATGGAATAGAAAGAAAATACTCTCTTTTCTCCTTCTGTGGTAAAATATTACTAACAGTGGAATGTTCATAGATATTCTGATGGTACAAAAATCTCATACCTTGTTTTATTGGAAATTGTTTGTCAACCTGATCATGCAAACAAGTTTACCAGTGTGCCAAACTTTGTTTTTGAGCAAGGGCTATGTGTCTTGCTCAAGGAAACTACCCCCTTTTCCAAAACTGCATGTTTAATTTCTGGTTGCCATGTTCTCATGAAGAATTTGGTAAGCAGTTTTTCTTGTAGGGTAAGTTTGTTGGGTCTAATTTTAAACCAACAGCTACAGAATGCAGATTGCACACTAACAGAGTCCTTTTGTTAATTCTAATACGCTGGCTCCAAATATGATATTATAAGATATTTTTCAATAAGTTTACAAACGAAAATTTTATTTTTTGACGAGTGGCAGACTTTGGCAGATTGTTGTGCCGACCTCTGCAACAACACAATCTGATTTTTGTGCAGCTGGACAGTTTGGAACATACTGATGATGAAATTCTCATTCAAAAACTTATTGAAAACTACATCCTTTTGTAATAATAAGATCAAATTTGGTACCAGTGGTAACAAACTGACTTGCAGATGTCTCTTTTTCTTGCTGGATTTGGAAGATCATAACAAAAGTATTTTTACCATTGTTGCATCAAGTATTATTTTCTTATAACACAAAGAGGCCGGACAACCATCTGTTTTAACTGAAAGTTTAATACCCTTTTAAGACACATGTCTGGCAAACGTTGACAACACATGTGTGGGTGTGAAGGATGGCCTCTGATTGGCTGCGTGTCGCTGATAAGTAAATTGCGATGCAAAATTATATGTGTGTAACGATCCATGGGGCAGGGCAGTTGATGTTCCCGTGGAATAGCCAAGGGTTCATTGTGGTTAAAAAATGTGAGAAGCCACATCAGCGTGGGCTGTTGGCCCTGCAAGCTGCTTCTTTAAACCTGAGCTTTCACATATGAGGTATTTTTGCTAATTTTAATCAATTTAGGTCCTTCTCCATTCATTGAATTCAAGCTTTTGTTGAATCAAGAGTTTGTTGTGTGGAAGTTTCATTGTACTGTAAAGTATATTTCTGTATTTTTGTACTTTTCCAGACCTCCATTCCAACTCGGCCACAGTCCTCTTCCACCACAGATGATGTCAGGCAGTAAATTGAAACAGAAACTGAGTACATGTACAAGGGACATCGCTAAGGTGGACAGATGGAAGTGGACGTAACTGGAAGTTGCTGGCTGTGAAAGATGATATCTCCTCCCAGACTTTTGTGAGTGATGAGATAGTGATCTAGCTCACTCAACCTCATTTCACAAAGTTGACAGGTTGTGTTTATTTGGTGTCAGCACGCATGGACAAAATGCACTCGTCGAGCAGAAGATTAGACTTTTGTCGCTCCTACCCATACACAAGCGAGCATACATCTGTGGGAATAGGCTGCCTTTAAGGTGACCTCCTGGTGTAAATATTTGAGTAGAAGTGCTTATTGCTTGGCTAGTTTATGATTTGTTTATGGAAAAGTAGGAGTCTTACCTTGGATGTTCTAGAAACATTTGCAGTAAAAACCAGCGCAATGTGCTGGGAAATGTTTGAAGTGGGTATACACAATCGACAAATGGGCTCACACTGCATTGTTCAGGGTGGAATGAGTTAAAGTAGAACGTTTTATGAAATGGAAAAAATCCCCTGATTAAGTGGAGCTTCGGTGATAAGCAATGGAAACATGGGATTATGGATGTAGACTATTGTGTAGTGGTGTGTGCTTCTATGGAACTGACCTTTAACCTCTTTTTATACTGCGAATTCGAGCGAAATGCTTGCAGCTAAAGGGATTTGACAACAACAACAACATACAGCAAATTCTGTCTTGAATTTCAGCGTACAGGCTGGATGTAAAAATTGAAAGTGAGCAGTGAAACAATATCACAAGTAAAAGGTGAAGTAGCTTGAAGTAGTGAGTGTGAGTGTGTGAGTTGAGATGACTACAGTCTAGCATGCACATATATATGTGTGTGGCCCTGAGAAGACCCTTCACAAGGTGCAAAATTTCAAAATTGACTTTTTTGCATATTTTAAAAGACACATCTTTCCCGAGCATTTTGCACTTTATTTGAGAGCAATTGGAGCATTCTCTGAAAAGTTATGGCATTTTAAAGTGAACAGGGGTTCGAGTGTCAAATTTTGAGAAAACAGGTTTTAAAGTTTTGCTTGCTTTGGGAACACATTTTCCATGATGACAGTGCATAGAAGCAAATAATGCTGATACCACAGCATAGAGGTGCCATTTGTAGACAGTTTTCTTTTTATTTTAGTGAAATACCTCTCTTCTACGTGAAGTTGTGACTGTTTTTATATTACAACAGTAAATCATTGAATTACGTAAAAACGCGTCAAATTGTAACCATTTTAAGTGGAAGACAATCTAAACACAAAACAACAAACAAACAAACAAAATTAAGATGATTTTTTGAACACAAAGCACATAATTTATTTGTTCTTCTTGTCCACGATATTTTTCCAACAGAAATCCATTGACATTTTTACATTTCCATGCATACACACTAAAAAAAGGAAATGACAACCGAAATGAACATGAAACTTCTCATCAAAGCTGCCAAAACAAATCTACAGAACCAACATACAACAAAATTATGAAAGTTATAAATTAACCACAGCAAGTCCAATGACCTGTTTTAGTCAGAAGAATAGAAATAAAATCATGTTGAAATTAAAATAGAGTACTCAATGAATCTTTAAAACTTAAACAAAAAACCCCTACTTTTTCTTCCCCTTGCCCTAAGTCGCTACCCCTTCCCCTTTTCCCCCCTTCCTGGCTTTCACCTCTGATGGACCCTCTTCCTCATCGCTATCATGTACACGCATGCTCACTTAGGTATGTCCATACAAATAATAAGTAGTCCTTGTCGCTTGTCAGACTTTGATTTTTCTTCTAGAATGTTTAACAGTGCCTCCCATGCAAAGCTGAGCTACACTACAATGTCATGCTCCTCTCGTGTCATACCAGCAAAACACAAACGCAGGTCGTCAACAGTAGTTGATTCGTACTGGCTGTTGCAAGACTGGCCATCATTGAGCTTGCAGAAGCACTTCAGCATGGGTCTCAATAGTCCGTTATTTAAAATTTAAAAAATATCACCGAGACGCGCGAAAATACATAAAAGATCTCAAATATTTGAAAACCAAATCCAATAACGTCTTTAAGTTCATTTCTGCCGGTCGCGATTGTGACATTAATTCTGCTCTGAGAGTACGTTTCAGGTGAACTAGTGGCTTTGGCGGCAAGCGGAATTGTGTCACCAATGCTCGACTAGAAAATCAAGATGTACTTTCGCTTTCGTTACCACCCAGAAATTTGTCCGTAATTTGTCTGATAACACAACGTTTATTGTAACATGCAGGTTCGGCATTACAAACGTGGTGTCGCCATGAAAATAAATAAATATTCGCCACTGTGCTGTCCCTCGTGGGGGCAACAAATAAAAAAAAAAGAAAAGAAAGTTATACAAGCGTCTTGTCGGGCTCGCCATTGTGACCGGTCAATGAACCTGTGCGCATTCTGAGTGCTGCGAAGCATAGGACTCTGGAATGGGGGGAGATTATTGATTTTTAAAAAAGGCGCACTCGGGGATAGGGGGAGGGCTGAACCTGAGGACAAAAACAGACAAACTGAAACTGAAAATAAATGTTAAATGTATAGAATTTTGATTACTACTTCAGCTCTCTGCGTTGGTGCAGGCCTTGTGTGAAATCGGGAACGGTCATAACTTGTAAACGAGTTATGGAACTTCGGGGCCTGAGTGTTCGCGTTTCATTGGATTGGTGACAGTAAATTAGATCTCTATATTTTAGCTTTCTGTTCAAGATTTGCAGATTTTCAGTATCGCTGCATCTTGCCCTCCCACAGTTCTTACACCTCTCACACTGAATAGGTCTACTTGAGCTATTCTACTGTACTTTGAGATTGAGCATTATTTTTGTCTTTCACGTTTATTATATAGGCCTATATATATGATATGAATCATGACAGTCGATATTCTGGTTTCAGGCTCAAAACAAGATTAATTTCTATATAGTTTATGTATACAGGCGAATATGATGAAGGGAAAATATTAATAAGTCGCACAAGACCCCAGGCGCCACCACTTTCTGTACGTAATCAAGATTGTAGATATTTGGTACGTGACTTTTACTTGAAATTATCTTCCAAGCTCTCAAATTAGTGTGAAATAACCTTGCTGTGATAAATTGATTGTTTTTATTTCAGCATTCTTGGGTTCAACAGTATAATAATAATGGGTGTTTCGCGAAAATGGGCTTCTGTGGCGATCTCCTGGAAAGTTCCTCCTTTTTTGGAATTCTGAGTTGAGACCCATGCCTAAGGCATCATCCTCGTCTGTAGATACAGAAATTAAATAAAAGAGAGTGATTTAAAAGTGTGCAGCTTTCATAATGAAATTTATAGTGTTGTACACCACTGTATTTAAATGACCACTACATTAGTTTAAACCAGTGATTAATGATCACCAGTTGAGAATAATTTGCTCCGTGATCCCTTTACAGTTTACAGGTTGCAACAAGAAGCCAGAATTTTTGTCCATCATTCTGTCACCTCTTGTTTTCGTTTTGCATGGCTGTATTTTTATGTGGACCTCCTCAGTTTAAGAAATTCCCTTTCATGTGCGAAGGTCCTGGGCCAGCAATTGCACCTAACAGATCAATGAAAATAGTAGGTACAAGTACAATGAAATAAAACTGAAAAGATCAACAAGAATTTATCTGTGTAGTGTGCACGGGATCATCTCCACACGTCTAGAAAAATACTGTTTACAGAGATACACAACTGGCCCTGGATTTATTTAGTCTTAGATTTAGGCAAGGTCAACAATGTGTCTGGTGACTGGGTGTATAATGTTTAAAACAACACACTATAATATCATCTAGATCTCGATCTCAACACACACTGCAGTGAGACTTGCTTCATACAGATAGGTAAGCGATAGGGATCTAAACAACAGCTGCAGGCTCGTGTAACTTTCATCAAGAGTCTAAAGTTAAGTGTCATAGTTGTCCAGATCTAGAAGAGTCATAAGTCTGGATCTAGTCAAGTGTCTAGTTAGTCTAGTCTAGTCAAGTAGAATCTTGATCTAAGTCTATAATAATGTTGACAGACTTGGTCTCGTTCCAAGAGATAAACTACCGATAGTGATAGATCTAGACTAGCTCCTCTAGAATTTCTAATACACTACTAGAGGTAAGATAGAAGCTAGATGAATACAGTTCTTTAATCTAGCTGATAATTATAAGGACTAGTATAGAAGCTGGGACTACGGGTATGGTAAACCTTGCTTACCCTCTGATGATGTTACGCCAATTGGTTGAACAGGAACCAGGACTTCTTCATGAAGTTCCAGATCATGAGCAGGGTTGTGTGGGTGTGTCACGGCCACGGTCGTCGTCATAATTGGTTCATCATGTGTCTCCTCCTCCAAAATAGAGTCTACTGTCTTCTGAATCAATAGGTTTTGCATTGAAATAATCAATAATCAGTTCATTCAATTCATTTTCGTCTGTGATTTGTCTCATTCCAATACACTGAGATCGTTCCACATCGATGAAATAAGCCCCTCAGCTGATCAGTCCGCCATCTTGAATCAATTAAATTATGTAAACAATAGCGCTCAACCACTTGGAAACAGAAAACAATCAGTTTACTTACAGTAAACTCGGAAAAAACACTTCGTAGAGCAGAACAAAGAACTTAAAGTCAATAAGGAACCGTTCATATTTGGTTTGAACGGCAGGAAATGGTACATGAAAAGTTAAACTGCACTCATGACAAATACCATTTCAGAAGCGAAACTACAACATGCACAACTCCCAGAACTATTTGTGTTGTTCCCATATTCATGCGCACTGGGTTTTCCCGAAACGGCAATAAAATTCTCTTTCTTTTGGTATATAATATGTGGGGGTTCCTGTAGAAAGAAGTGTCTATCCGATTGAGTAAATATTCCCCCTGTTTGTCTAAGAATTCAGCGTATTATGGCGACGATATGTCCTCAAAAATAATTATTTTAAAATATTTTCAATCACTTTTGAGCAAATTCCGTAAAACATATGATGTAGAAATGGTTTATCTTTCTGAATTTCATATGATTTCGTTTTCGATAAAAATGAAGTTGAGGGCCTATTTTAAGCGATATCTCAGAATAGATTCTCACACCTTCTGACGGGTTTTCTCAGAGCGGCTCACATATGTGGTGAGACTTGTCCAGGAGGTTCGCGGTTTCTAAAAGTCCCATGACCGTTTTTGTTGTCTGATTACTTGTAGCCGGCACCCTGGCTTCAGCAGCAATATTGGTAAATTGCCATGATAGACGTCGAAATTGCAGCAGTAGCCTGAACTAGATTCGCACACTGAACAACTTTATTCCGAATCGGACCGGCTTGGCTAGATTATATGTCTTGAACCTGAGCCGACCCTTGAAGGGGCAAATACCGTCTTCGACTGCCAGGTTTTTTCTCAGGCATGTACACGGGTCTGAATGTGTTCTGGAGCTGACGCATGAGGGGTCGAAGTTTGAAAAGTGGGTCCGTGCGATTGTCGTCTGCATTGTTCACAATGTGAAAATTTTGCAACAAGATCATGTAGCGATCTCTCGGCATAGCTTCGGAAAAGCCCTTTCTAACAGTGCCCATGAGGAGAGTAATTGCTAAAAAGATTTTCATCTCTCCAGCACATGTGTCTTTCCACCGCTGCAAACGCGAGGAGGGCTTCAGGTTGTCTCCCAGTCTAGCAACGGTAACATTCGCATACCTGTTCGTCTCCATGACAAATTTATCTATCAAAACTTAAATTAATCTATAAAGAGTTTGAAGTAGTCTAACATTCTGTGGCTTTGTAGGTTTACATTCAGCCCTGGTTCTGTAGTAAATTCAGGTATATCAACAAAATCCCCGTTCTTGGAGATCAGCATGAATATCGACATCCCCTTGAGGGCTGAACATCGCTAGATCTATGATATCCCCATCATTGACACGTAAATCTTCTATTTGAGGACCAAATCCTTCAAACACTTCATCACTGTCGTCCGATTCCAGAAAAATGTTCGGCAAATTTGTGTCTGAATCAGCTGACAAGGAGTCAGAATCGGACATGTTGAAAACTGAACACAATACCCCACAAAAATGCTGATAAAAAACTCAAAACTGATCACCGACTGCCAAATGCGCACCAAATGGCTGTAATAACCATTGCACTAGGGGATTGTAGTCAACAGCAGTTAAAAAAATGTCTATGTTGATGTCAGCGGTATAGTTTCTACACTCATGTCAGATCACAACCACCGTCATGATGCGCGCGGAATGGAAGTATGAATCATCATGTGATGCGCACGCAGAGGGTAAAGATAACATTTTCAACTCCACCAACAGCTGCCACATGATCACTGACTGCCCTCTTTGAGATGGCAGTTCTTTCCCCCATGTTTATGACCATGTAGTACAACTGACAGTTTAGGGGTGATGAGGTCCAGCAGTTGTTGAATTTTTCCTAATGGCCTGTTGCCATCCTGCCCCCTTGGAACATGGCGGTTCACATCACTAAAGTGAACGAATGCCTGGAGCATCTGGTACCGATGACGAGTCATCACTCCGCTGAACTTCATCTTGAACAGCCAATAGCTGTCTCTGTAATCTTCCAGGCTGTTCTTCGGACTAACACACATAACTATAAATTAAACCTGTGCCTGGCCGTGGCTGATAACAAGAAGGGGTTTTATAAACTTCCAGAGAGCAGAGTCACTTGAATTGGCAAACAAGCCTTGAAAATAGGTGTCCTGCCTGTCAACAGAGGAATCAGGGGGGGGGGGGAAGATCCCCACATCTGACAGCCACAACTTGAAGGTTCTTTTGAATGTGTCTACTTCTTCCGCATCCAGTCTGGACAGGCTGACTAGGTGGCTGGGGGTCTGCTCAAACATCTTCACAGCTGCTGCCTGGTCGTTTCTGAGCACCTGCCATGATGGTGAATCCTCATTGTGCAAAAAATTCTAACAGTTTCTTTAATGATCAATGTTGTGTGATCGTCATGTGAGTGGATGAAATGTACATCTCGACAGTGGTTGTCGTGTGTCCCGAAAAAAGAAGGACGTACAAGCTTTGTAGCTTTTAGTGTGGCTGTTGGGATTAAGTTCCTTGTTACTCCACTAACTATGCCCTAGTTTAGAAAATGGGCATGGAACACTGCTCCAGTCTAGTGCACAAGGTCAAACAATTGATTTGATTGGAGCTGTTATTGAGCCTGCCATTGTCCCTCAGCTGGGTTGAGAAAGAGCGCTCTGTACTTTCTGAAGCTTGCACTATTAAATAATTCATGCACTCAGCACAATCCAGCTTCTCTTGTAGTCTCCTGATTGTGTAGCCACTGATGTAGTCCAAGGCACTATCATGAAAGTCACTTGGGGATTGCAGCATTTAGGTGAATTCCTCCAA